TTCGCTGAACCCTTTGAAACAAATTCAGAACATTAGTTATCAAAGAAGTGAATTCACTTCCCGTCGAAACAATAGCTCTATTAGTTGTGATAACGTCTCCATTAATACCATTAATGACAAGACATTCCATAAGAGGTAAGCAATTCTCTCATTCAGTCGTCTATAAAAGTTTTTGTTGAGTTTTAAATAAAACAAAATTATTTGATATGCTTTTTGTATTTAGTTTTATTTATAAATTACTGACATTTAAATGATATGTGAATATAATTATTGTTTTGTTACATAATAATGTTTTAGAGTGGAGAATATTCGGTATAATTCAAGTAAAGTAAGTGTCAAGAACTTAACGCCGACTAAAATGTTCAAACGTATGATGAAAGGCAACGCCAAGACATGGACTCCAAACAAGAAGTAGACACTAATTGTGTCCCACAATGTCATGTCATGTTTATTATTAGAATGAATGCATGTTATTGTTTGTGATGTCAATATTTTTGTAAAGCCATCCATATATTGTATATCATTAAATAGTTAACCATTTGGTAATTATTTTGTAATATAGTTTCTGTTTATTTTTAAAAATTGATTATTTTTTACTAACTTTTAAATTCTCATTAATTCTTGTGATTGTATTTTAAAGATTATTATTATTTGTTTTAAATGTTTTGATTGAAATTGATTGTAATATTTGAAATTCAAAACACATCTATTTCTATATTTTTCTACTCCAAGAATAATGAAACTAAAAGTAAATTCATGTTTATTTGATTGTATTTAAAACACAAAATGTTTTGGCATTAAATAAATATTTTTATTAATTTTGAATTCAATCAGAAATTACATTAAATATAATATTATTGAATAAATGTCTGTAAATATGAGAAAAGTTTAAAAGTTTTAAATAAAGTTTACTCGTCTTTATAAAAAGTAATTGTAATTAAAATGATTTAACGTAAATCTAACTAATTGTAAGCCTTATATGAATTGAAGATTATATTAAGTCCTAATTTAAACACATTTTCGCTGATATTAAGAAATTATACAAAACATCTTAATTATTAATTTAATTAATTATATTATTTATATTTATTTATAATTTATTAAAATTAATTAATTAAGTTATCCGTATTTTTACCAATTAAATGTTTATACGGTATATCAAACAATTAAGTTAGTTTGTGTTAATATATTCAAATTACTCATCGATAGACAATACATTATAAGTATAATGTGAATAAACTAACAGTAATTAGGATTAGGATTAACCTAATGTTCTGTTATTTTCCAATGAGTACTGAATGACTATTTAATCATTAAATTTTAATGTAATGTTAAATATCTATTTAATTATTATTTTTTTGTAAACCTGAGCTCAGCTTATGGTATATAAGACTGAGCCAAACATGTATTGAATTCACATTAGTTTTTACACTCAATCAAATCGTTCGTCTCATTACATTTGTGTCCAAAAAAGTGATCCATTGTTTTGTCGACAAATAATCCATACATTTGTGTCATTCAGACAGCAATCGATCGTTGATTGTGTTGACAGAAGAGGAAGCGATGGATATGCAGAACAATCACAAGAAGCAGATCATTGCCATCAGGAATGAGCTTCAGTTCCGTTTGGATGAGTCGGAAGCGCTTCTCGAGTCTGTGGTGAAGGAGAATAAGACCAAAGACAAGAAGATCGCCGAACAGATGGCTTTACTCCAAGAAGTCAATGATTTGATTGTTTTAATCGAAAATACAGCCGAAAAGAAGAGAGTAATGAGTGAAGGGAACGAAAGACTGTTGAAAGAGAACCAACAATACGAACGAAAAGCACAATTCCTTGAAAATGAAGTGAAAAAATTGAACGAATTGTTGGCCGCAAACAGAACACCCGTCGCTACGGCGGCCCCAATCTTCTCAATACCCACATCAGTCATCACTCACACCAATCAACTAAACAATTAATATATTGTATACATTAAATAGTTAACGATTTGGTAATTATTTTGTAATATAGTTTCTGTTTTATTAATTAATTATTTTTTATTATCTTTTGAATTCTGTGATTGTATTTTAAAGATTTGTTTTAAATGTTAGATTGAAATCTATTACTAATACTATATTTGAAAACATCTTTATTTCTATAATTTTATATATTTTTCCATTTCAAGTGAAACCAAAAGTGAAATTATTTTTGTTTGATTGTATTTAATTCATTTGGCATTAAATAAATATTTTATTAGTTTTATAGTTAAATATTTGCATTAATTTTGAATTCAATTTTAAATTACATTAAATATAATATAATTGAATACATGTATGAGAAAAGTTGAAAAGTTTTAAATAAAGTTTACTTTAATAAAGAGAACTTTGAATAATACCAGAAAATAATGGATTTAAATAAATTGTTGCCATTATTTACTATTAGAGTAAATACACAGAAATCAACACTTATTATAAAAATAGTATTTAATTAAATGGTCTTAAAATATATAATAATAATTAAATTAAAGTAAATGAAGAGTCAATTTATTATAACATGGGATCAAACGTTACATTCAATGACAGTATTTATGAAAGTCTTAAGTGTTTTGTCAATAGATTTGAAAATTTCAATTGAAATTCAAATCCAAGACTCAATTGATGACAAAAATCGGTGAAGAAATGGCAAAACAAACCAAAATCACGTCATTCTTCACCACTCCTTCCGATCAGCGATTAGACGAGAAAAGTGATCGACAATTGTCTTATAAAACGGACACTAAATTGAATGTCAAAGAGTTTGTCAAAAGAGGCGAAAAACGGAAATTGACTGCAAATGAAGAAGTGGTCAAAAATGTAGTCAATAGTG